CTTTTGTTAACTGTTTCTAGAATAAGCCAAGGAATGAATTGAGATGAGAAAAGACCCTCGACCTGGAAGCCCTTTATCTGTCTGCTTCACTCTCGTTACCTCACAGTGAAGTGAAAGGCTTTGTCCTTGGTTTTGGGAAATAGGATTCTCTGGTCTATTAGAAAGAGCATGGGCTCTGTGGTTAGGTTGCCATGGATTTAACCTTGGCTTCAACATTTTCCATTTGTGTGACCTGAGCAGGTCACTTATCCCTTGTGTTAAAATAGGGACAAAATCCACCTCACAAAGTTGTGAGGATTAAGTGAGAGCAAATGAAATAGCATATGCAGTGAGTGGTATATTGCTTGACAGAGTCCCTGGGTGGTGCAAACGGTTAACATGTGCAGCTGCTAACTGAAAGGTTGGAGGTTCGAGTCCACCCAGAGGCACCTTGGAAGAAAGACCTGGAGATCCACTTCTGAAAAATCAGCCATTGAAAACCCTACAGAGCACAGTTCTACTCTGACACTTATGGAGGTCTCCATGAATTGGCGATAACTCAATGGCAAGTGGTTTTTGGTTCTGTGATGTCTGGCATGTGGTCAGTGCTCGAGGGAGCCCACTTGTTACATCAGTGAGGGTGTGCAAGGCTCTGCTATGGTAACAGCTGAACTCTAAGATCCCAGTGGCACAAGGCAATAAAAGTGTACTGTTTTGCTTCTGCAAAGTCAAATGTTGATATACTGGTTCGTCGACTCTCTGGGTGGCTCTCCACCAATGAGTGTCTCAGGATCTAGACTTCTTTTCTTTCTTTGATGCCACTGTTTCCAACCATCTTGAACGGCTTTGAAGGTCCTCACAGCAGGGGAAGGTGAGGATTGCATGTAAGAGATGATTTTTATGGGCTAGTGCTGCAAATGGTAGGTATCACTTTGTTCCACCTTGCCAGGATTTGTCACATGGCCCTTTCTATATGCTACATGGTCTGTAAACACAATATTCTTGTGTGTGCAAGAGAAAAAAAAAAAAAAAAAGAAACAGTTTGCAATACACATAGCATTGTCTTGACCACACTTTCCTCCTCCCGTTTTCTTCTCTAGGCCTGGAGGCTAATCTCAGTTTAGGATTCTCAGTCAGCTCTTCCTAGGAGTAGCTGAGATGCTGCAGGCTCCGCTAGCTGATCAATTCCAGAGCATCAGAATCAGTTGTTGATAGCATTGACCTGATTCATTTGTCTCCCACAGGCTGGGCTCCAACAAGGCAATAGCACTGCAGGGAAAGGAGATTGGAGCTCTTGGAGCCAACTGGAACTACTGCTGCTACCTTTTTTCTTTTAAATTTAACTATGTTTTAATATTTGGGGCACTCACTTAGCTCTTCTGGTCAGAGAAAGTTTATAGGAGAAATGGTTTTTGGAAGATCATTTGGAATTTGTCAAGCAGGCAAAGCAGGGAGGGAGCTTTCTAGGTAGAAGCAGCATGTGTGAGGCTTGAAAGAGCTGGTCAAGTTCAGGGGCCTGCTATGGGCTCACCATTTCTAGAGGATACTTTGGTTTATGTCAGGCATCCCATTAGCATTTATTGTTTCATTCCTTGAACAAATATTTATTAAGCCCCTACTATGTGCAAGAACAAATATTCAAGCCTCGAGTTGCAATATTGAAGGATTCTATGGGCAAAATATTGAACGATGCAGGAAGCATCAAAAGAAGATGGAAGGAGTACACAGAGTCACTGTACCAAAAAGAATTGATCGATGTTCAACTATTTCAGGAGGTAACATATGATTAAGAACTGATGGTATTGAAGGAAGAAGTCCAAGCTGTACTGAAGGTATTGATGAAACACAAGCCTCCAGGAATTGAAAGAATACCAACTGATATGTTTCAGCAAATGGATGCAATGCTGAAAGTGCCCACTCGTCTATGCTAAGAAATTTGGAAAACAGCTACCTGGCCAACCAACTGAAAGAGATCCATGTGTGCGCCCATGCCAAAGAAAGGTGATTCAACAGAATGTGGAAATTATCTAACATTATCATTAATATCACATGCAAGTAAAATTTTGCTGAAGATAATTCAAAAGTGGTTGCAGCAGTACATGGACAGGGAACGGCCAGAAATTCAAGCCAGATTCAGAAGAGGATGTGGAACGAGGGATATCATTGCTGATGTCAGATGGATCTTGGTTGAAAGCAGAGAATACTAGAAAGATGTTTACCCATGTTTTATTGGTTACACAAAGGCATTTGATCACATGGAACATAACAAATTATGGATAACACCGAGAAGAATGGGAATTCCAGAACACTTTTATGCTCATGAGAAACCTGTACCTAGACCTGTACGTAGACCAAGAGGCAGTCATTCGAACAGAACAAGGAGACACTGCATGCTTTAAAATCACGAAAAGTGTGCGTCAGAGTTGTATCCTTTCACTGTACTTATTCAATCTGTATGCTGAGAAAATAATCAGAGCAGCTGGACTATATGAAGAAGAACTCGGCATCAGGATTGGAGGAAGACTCTAACAACCTGATATGTGCAGGTGACACAACCTTGCTTGTGGAAAGTAAAGAGGATTTGAAGCACTTACTGATGAAGATCAAAGACTACAGCCTCCAGTATGGATTACACCTTTACATAAAGAAAACAAAAATCCTCACAACTGGACCAATAAGCAACATCATGATAAATGGCGAAAAGATTGAAGTTGTCGAGGATTTCATTTTACTTGAATCCACAACCAGTGCCCACGGAATCAGCATTCAAGAAATCAAATGATGTATTTGCATTGGGCAAATCTGCTGCAAAAGATACCATTAAAGTGTTAAAAAGCAAAGATGTCACTTTGAGGACTAAGGTGCACCTGACCCAAGCTGTGGTATTTTCAGTCACCTCACATGCATGGGAAAGCTAGACAATGAATAAGGAAGACCAAAGAAGAATTGATGCATTTGAATTATGGCATTGGTGAAGAATATTGAATATATTATGGACTGCCAGAACAGTGAACAAATCTGTCTTGGAAGAAGTATAGCCAGAATGCTCTTGAGAAGTGAGGATGGTGAGACTTTCTCACATATACTTTGGATGTGTTATCAGGATGGATCAGTCCCTGGAGAAGGACTTCATGTTTGGTAAGGTAGAGGGTCAGTAAAAGAGAGGAAGACCCTCAACGAGATGGATTGACACAGTAGCTGCAACAGTGGGCTCAAACATAGAAAAAATTGTGAAGCTGTCACAGGACTGGGCGGTGTTTTGTTCTGTTGTACATGGGGTCGTAAGAGTCCGAACAGACTTGACAGCACCTAACAACATGTGCAAGAAGTGTTCCCAGCCGTTCTGAAGCTTAGCTTCTAGTGGAAGCTGGTTGATTGTTGGCCTCTCTTCTTGCCTTTCAAAGGTTATTTTGGTCCAGTATATGTGGAGTGAAATCTCCTCTGTCTATCCCTAACCTTTCCTCTTGTCTCCTGTGACTTCCATCTTGCCTGTTGACCCTTGTGAACGCACATGGGTCATTGCTTTTCTTCCTTCAGTTCCCTAGAGCACCCCGACATGTGATGACTGTTTAGTGTAGCTAACTTTCTCCACTGAGTTGGGTATAGTAGCAGGTTATTCCAGCACAGAAACTGTTTCTAACTCGTGGTCGGAAAGGCTCCCCTGGGCCCCTCCAATCCTTTCTCTCAGCCCCAACTTCAGCTTTCATAGCACATCCTACAGTGTGCAATTATTTATTAGTTTACTTGTTTATTGTCAGTTGGTCTCACTAAACAGTGATAGCATGTCTGTTTTATAAACTATTGTGTAACCTGTCCCTGGGACTGTGTATGGTCTACATTAAGTGCTCAATCAAATAATTGCCAAATTATTGAATGAAGAAATGAAAGTAAAAAGATGGGAAGTAGCTGATGCATTAGAAGGAACTATCCTATCAGAGGAAATTTCTCATTGTACGTCACCTTCTGTGGATTTCTCCTTTTCATTGTGTTTATTGGGCCTCTCTCTTCCTCTCCTTCTCTCTCTAGCTGTCTTCATATAATCCCTCAAATTCCTATTACTTTTTAGTACAAGACATTTTAATACTCTCAGCTCAAACCCACCCTCCCCCCATGCCACCAAATGGATCCCGCCCTCCTTTGTCCAGTCCAAGACTCATTGTGATACTAAAGGCCAAGTCTTCTGAGTTTCTATCCTTAGCAAGAAAGAAAAGTGGAGAAAGCTTTGACCTCCCAGGTTTTCTTCAGTGGTGTTTGGACTATATTCTGTATCATATTCTTCAACAGGACTTCCACCACTACTAACCAGAGGAGATCCCTGGTCTATGGGTGTAGAGAAAGGAGTTTTTGTCCACTGCAGCTGATAGAGACAGGGGTGTGATGCTACATGAGACTGCATGGGCAGGGGCTTGCATGGGTGGTTCTTGACATTGGGCTGTGTTTGGATGTGGTTCTGTGGGTGACAGGGAATCAATGGCTGTTTACAGGAGGGGGATAGTAATGTGATGAGATCTGAGACTCAGGGAGACAAAGAAGGACTGGGGTGTGTGCTGGGGGTCGACAAGACCAGTCAGGAGGCGGCTGTAAAATTGTCCTGCTGCTCCATCCCCGCCTTTGTGTGCCCTACTGGATTGCCCGGTGTGTTAGTTTCATAGGGCTGCCATAACAAAGTACCGCAAATTGGATGGCTTATAAGAGCAGAAATCTATTGTCTCACAGCTCCGGAGGCTAGGAGTCCGAAATCAGAATATTGGCTGTGTTGATTCCTTCTGAGGGTCTAAGGGACAGTCTGTCCCATGTCTCTCCTAGCTTCTGGTGATGGCTGGCAATCCTTGTCATTCCTTGGCTTGTAAATGCGATTTCTGCCTCTGTCATCACAAGACTTTCTTGTGTCTTTCTGTGTGTCCTGTCTCTTCTTTTATAAGGACACCACTCATATTGAATTATGACCCATCCAACTCCATTATGACCTCATGCTAACTTAACTGATAACATCTTCAAAGACCTTATTTCCAAACAAGGCCATGTTCACAGGTGCCAGGAGTTAGGACTTTAATGTAACATCTTGGGGAACACAATTTAATCCATAATACCCCGGAATATCCTCCTTCTGCTCTCTGCCCATGGAGACACTGCTGTCCTTCAAAGCCCTTTTCAGATCTTCTCCACTTCTCCTCTCTCCGCCTCCAGGGTAGCATGGGCTCCTATTTCTCAGGAGGGACCAGCACTTCTTAGTTGGAGCTCTTACTCTCCCCTAATTCTACACCCTGCATCTCTCTCACTGTGTCTCTCTGATTTTCCTGGTGACGCTGTAGTCACTCTGTTTGGGGACGTATAGCCCCAGAGTATGAGCTCAGTAAATTCTTGTCAAAATATGACCAAGTTGTTGCAAAATAGTGGCTTGCTTGAACTTTAAAGTACCGTTAAATGAAGACGTTTTAAACACGTCATCATTGACTTTATTACGTTCTAAGTACATGACTGTCTTAATTCTTCACAAACTCGATTTCACTTCACAAAAAAATTATTTTCAGACCGCTTTTAGAGGGAAGTAGGTGGACGTTGGGCACCCATTCTGTGACAGTTACTTTTCATATATTATCCTTTTTAACCATAATATTTCTGGAAGATAGAGATTTTGTTTCATATTACAGGTGAGGAAACTGAGACCCAGACAGGTTATGCATCTGGCTCCGAGCCCACACAGCTTTGCAAAGCTGAGGTTTGTGTCTGGCTTTGCCAGACTCCGAAGCGAGTGCCCTTTCTGGTGTCTGATGGCATTGCTTCATGCTGCTGGAAGCAATTATAGAGGCATGCCCTGGCATTCATTTTTTCTGCTTAGAATGAGACGTTGCTGTTTACTTTTTCAGTAAGGAAGATTGAAATCAGTGTAACTAGCCTTATTAACTTTTTAAGGTAGGGGGGCTCGCAGATGCCAGTGCCTTTCCTGAGAGCACCAAAGCAAATATAAAAATCCAATTTACTTGCCTTTTTTTTTTTTTTTAAATCATCTACAGAGTTTAAAATTCAAAGCTGTAAAGAAGACCCGATGAGACAGGGGTAACGAACCAAGCTTCAGACATGGGGATGTATTTACCTGTATCTCTTTTATCGCCAGGTGGCTGTTCCTTTGATGAGCACTACAGCAACTGTGGTTACAGCGTGGCCCTGGGGACCAATGGGTTCACCTGGGAGCAGATTAACACATGGGAAAAGCCAATGCTGGACCCCGCAGTGCCCACAGGTATGTGACCCACTGTGTTTGATACCGTGATAGAGTTGGTTGGCTTTTACGATGGCTCCTGGGGAAGAACTGTCTTCTGTTTGAGCCCTGTGAGAAGGCGATGGGTAACTCTGAAGGTGGAGAGTTCCTTATCACCAGAGGTGTTCAAATCAAGGCTGGATGAATTCTTAGAGATGCTGTAGAAGTCACATGTCACCTTGATTCAAGCACCTTTAGGCTTTCTTTCAGCTTTGTTAAACTTTAGCTACGCTGTTGTTAGTTGCTGTTGAGTCAGTTCCGACCCACGGCGACCCTATATGTGTTGAGTAGAGCTGCTCCATAACATTTTCAAGGCTGTAAACTTCCGGAAACATATCTTCAGGTTTGTCTTCTGAGGCTCCTCTAGATGTGTTTGAACCGCCAACCTTTCAGCTAATAGTCCAGTGCTTAACTGTTTGCGCTGCCCAGGGACTTTAGCTACATTGCTGGGCTTTATGCTCTGGGAATATGATAGTAGTGGGTTTTTAAGCGAAGAATTTGAAATCACTCCTTTTCTTCTAGGCCACATAGACAAAGCTGTATATATGCAGGGAAACTTCTAGAGTCAGAATATAAGTCATTAAAGTTAATGTCCTGAATGCCAAGCATATTCTTTAACCAATGGAGCTGAAGTCCTAAATGTACACTCTTGATGGATACCCGTGTGAGATAGACCTATGAGTTATACGTGATATATTCCACAGAAGGTAAATCTAGAAGTATACTCTAGGGTGGGGTATACCTGATGGATAGTCTCTGGGTCACATAAATGGTTGATGTTCTTGGCTGCTAACTGAAAAGTTGGAGGTTTGATCTCTCCCAGAGTTGCCTTGGAAGACAGCCCTGGTGATCTGCTTCCAAAAGGTCACAGCCTTGAAAACCTTATGGAGCACAATTCTACTCTGTACATTATGAGTTGGAATTGACTCAATGACGACTAACAACATACAACATACCTGGTGAATCATTGAAATGGCACAGGGCTGGACAGTGTTTTATTCTATTGTACATAAGGTTGCCATGATCTGGAGCCGATTCAACAGCAACTAACAACAACACCACCACCTGGTGAGGTAAGCCAGGAACACTCAACCTCTATGAGCATTAAGATCTCCTCTTTGGATAAATAGGATCCCTGGTACAATAGTAAAGACAACTGGTTGTTGGAGAAAGGAGACCATTCTCTATTTCCACCCCGACCAAATTCTCCCTCTTACCTATCACGCTGTCTTGGTTTTCCACCAAACCCTCCTGATGCTCTTCTTCAGTCTCCTTTGTCAACTAACTCTGACCACTACATGTTAGAGTCCCTGAGGCTTGTCCTACATTCTTTCCATGTAGGTAACTCAGCCACTCCCCTGGTTTCAGCTGCCATCTGTGCTTTGGTGACTCCCACATTTATACCTCCAGCCCAGACATTTCATATGAACCCACCACCTACACAGCCCACTGCCTAGCTGCCATCTCTTCTCAGCTGCCCCTGGGGAAGGGGTTTTCCAGGATGCCACAAAGCTGGAGACAGAAAAGATGCTTGGAGATATTCAGGTGAGGGTGGCTTCAGTGACTTTGAATTTGGCGCCAAAGCAGGAGGCCACTGGCTAGCTCTAAAATAGTTCCTATTGCCCTGTGCCTGTGGCTGTCAAGTCAATTCTGACTCATAGCGATCCTATAGGACAGAGTAGAACTGTCCAGTATGGTTTCCAAGAAGTGGCTGGTGGATTCAAACTGCCCACCTTTTGGTTAGCAGCCGAGCTCTTAACTACTGCGCCACCAGGACTCCAGTTCCTGTTAAGGGCATAAATTGCTTATATTAGTTCCTCTTGAGTGTTGATACAAGCCCCAGGTATACAAGCTGTACTGTTGTATACAACTAAGCTTTTCAGATCTGGAAGGACCTTACTTTGCATGGGGAGAATCACCAACAGCCCAATGTCCGCCATTAGTAAAGTGACTGTGGGACAGCCTCTATCTTTGTTGCTGCATCATAATTTTTTATAATGCTACCTTTGATTTCAAGTGTCCTGGTTCAGATGGTAATCTCACCTACCACATTAGGGACTCCAAGGGTCCAGAGCACTTGTACTGAAACATCTGCTTCTGCTTGGCATGGCCATCTTTGATATTGGCAGTATAAATCTGGAACTGATTGTGTATGTGTGTGCATGCACACATATGCTCTTTCTACTTATCTTTAGCCCACTTGAAGCCCTGTAGGGTCTTACAGGCTCCCTAAACTCAACATCTCCAAAACAGAACTCCCAACTCACCCATTCCCGCTCCCTGTGTACCCAGTCTTCTGTGTTCCTTGTCTCAAGAAAACCCTCTTCATCTGTTCTGTAATTGATTCAGACACCCAGGGATCATACCTCTCTCTCTCCTTTCTCTTACCCCCTCTTCTAGTTGTCACTTAGTTCTGCTGTTTTACCTCCTGAATACATCTCAAGTCTGCCCACGTTCTCCCTCTCTGCCACCAGTGCCCTGTCCAGACCACCTTCAGTTCTCTCCTGAATAGCTGGAAAACTTCCAAAAGGCTACTTGGCTTCTTTAATCCATTCTCCACACTGAAGCCAAAGAGACTGTTCTAAAACATAGGCCTATTTGTGTTAAGCCTTCTCTTTGTCCTTCATGTCCTTGTCCCCACCCAGGTTGTTCTTGTCCCCACTGTGCTCCTCCTTGTTACCAATCAGCTTCTGTTTGGAATCCTTCTGAGGCTTCCCACTGCTCTGAGAAAGAAGACCAAGCCCCTACTGTGGCCTTCAGCGTCCTATATAGTTGGCCCTGCTCCACTTCCAGCCTCACATGTTCCACTCTCCTCTGTGCTCACTTCACACTGGCCTCTGTTGTTCCCAGACTCTGTCCTGCCTCAGGAACTCATATATAAGATGGACACTGTCCATGGAACCTCTTCCTCCACCTCATCTCCTGGCTTACTGATACTTCCCCTTATATCACAGTTGAAGTGACCCTTCCTCAGCACAGCCCTCCCTAGACTCCCCAGTCTGGGTAAGCTCCCTCTGTAATGGTTACCATCATACCCTGTACTTCTCCTCAGTAACATGGAGAGGCGAGGCCAAGATGGTGGAGTAGTCAGACACTTCCGGTGGGCCCTCTTACAACAAATACCTGAAAAAACAAGTGAATCGATTATATATGACAATCTGGGGGCCCTGAACATCAAAGGCAAAGTTGAGGAATCAGACTGAGTGGCAGAGGGAGGAAGAGATGGTTCAGAAGCAGCAAGGAGTTGCCAGACCAGACCTGTTGAGAGCCTGAGCCCTTCAGGCCCATCAGCTTGTGGGGTGTGGTGAGGCAAGCAAGCAGTGACACTCAGGAGGTGTTTTCCACATGAGGAGAGACCCAGTGGCAGAGAGTCTACTTGGCCATCCAGAACCAGTAAGAAGCAGCCCTCGATCAGCAAAAGATAAGTACTTGTGTGTGGCCTACTGCATGAATCAAAAACATCCACTTTAAGGAAAAACCTCTCTCCCATTTACCTCCCTGCTCCCTGCTCTGCACTGGGTCCCGGACTGGCTTCAGCAATTGCTGAGTCCCCTGGGCCGGAAGTAGGACCTGTCACATGCCCTGAGCTGTTCTCCCGGCCTTGAAGAGTGAACAAATTAACAAACGGGGAAAAATAATCTGCCAGCTCCCCTAAGCCAGGAACTCAGGGTAGGCATAGCTCCTTTGTCTAGGCACAGGCATAAGGGATCCACGGACTTTGAGTGCTTTTCCCCCTGCATAGACTTGTGTGGGCCCATTTCAACAGTGTAGGCCTCATTACCACAGTACAGCAGGGTATATACCTGAAGTCTAACTTCAGCTATTTCAGCTGTGAAGTGGCAGGTTTGTGATATCTGACACTGCTCTGCCCATTAAGCAGGGTTTTCACCTACCCACATCAACAGCCTGAGGACTGGTGGCTCCACACACGCCACCTAGCAACCTGCGACAAGGGCCCAAGAATAAGAGGTGCCCCCCAGTCCTTATAGCCCACAGCACTGGGTGCCCACAGTCCAGCTGCAAAACCCACCAATCAACGTGCTCTAGGGAACAGGGACACGCTGTCTTCCTAGACATGTGGGGGTGGCCGGCAGCCCCCTGCCTTGCTCAGCCTGTGTACCCCTGCTGCAGCCAGATGCCTGTGCCTACACCTATCACCCATGCCTGTCTAGAACTGTAGGTGAGAGCCTGCACCACACTTGGAGGCCAACTACCTGGACACCTGAGCTGAATCCATACAGCAGTAGTGGGTGGGCTCCTGGGCTCACATACAGAGTGGCAGGTCTGGCCACCTGGTGGCAGGACACTGGAGCTTCAGGGGCACTGGAGATGGGGCTAGCTAACACGAGCAGCCTCTTTGGGCATATCAAAACACAACAGAACAAGAAGCTAGGACACAGTAAGCAAACACAAAATAAATAAATATAATAACTTATTGATGGCTCAGAGACAACAGTCAATATCAAATCACATAAAGAGGCAGACCATGATGACTTCAGCAAGCTTCCAAAACAAAGAATCTAGAAATTTTCGAGAGGAAGAAAGTATCTTGGAATTACCAGTGGCAGAATACAAAAGATTGATATACAGAACTCTTCAAGAGATCAGGACGGAAATTAAGCAAAACACAGAACACGCAATAGAGGAAATTAAGAAGATTAGAGAAGAGAATAATGACAAATTTAACAGGCTGCAAGAATCCACAGAGAGACAGCAATAAGAAATCCAGAAGATTAACAATAAAATGTCAGAATTAGACAACTCAATAGAAAGTCATAGGAGCAGAATTGAGGCAATGGAAGTCAGAATTAGTGAGATTGAAGA